TGCCACTCCTCCCATTTGTTATTCCATTAGCGTTTGTGTACCATACTTTGTTTCCTTTCCAACACTGTGGTTTGGGGGCCTGTGAGGGTGGGAGACCTGGTAGCATACTGTGGGATTCTATAACTGGGTGTTGGGTGGAAGCTGTGAGTATGGATTGTAGTTTCTGTTGGGATGGTGTGATAGTGTGAGGGAAAAGTTCAACAGGTAGGAGTAGTGAGCAAGTATATGGTAACGATAGCTTGGTTGCCGGCTGCTTGTTAAGTCTAGCTCCCGCTATCCCCCCCCTTTTTCCCCCACCCCGAAAGGTGGGGTATCTTGTATAAATCAGTATTCAAATTAAATTCAGATGAGATAGACTATCCCATCTTAGTTGTTCCAAGTCAATGCAGAGAGACTGTTCTTAAAATGGCTCATGACCTACCAGTGGCCGGACATTTCTCGCATCGTAAAACCTTAAATAAAATTAGGGAAACCTATTTTTGGTCCAAAATGTCCTCAGATATCACTACCTATTGCAGATCGTGTAAAGTTTGCCAACTGTCATCCTCCCGAGGTACCAGGCGAGTACCTTTGGTCAAAATGCCAATCTTTACGGTACCGTTTGAAAGAGTAGCTATTGACATCGTTGGTCCTTTATCTCCACTTTCATCTGGGGGGCATAGATATATATTAACATTAGTTGATTATGCTTTGAGTTTCCCTGAAGCTGTACCCTTAAAGTCCATAACTACTACATAGGTGGCTGAAGCCCTTTTGTCCATCTTCTCCAGAGTGGGCATCCCTAGAGAAATTTTGTCTGACCGTGGGACACAATTCACATCTGACTTAATACAACATCTCTACCAACTTCTGGGAGTGAAGCCTCTCTTCATAACACCATATCACCCCAGCTGTAATGGGAGGATTGAGCGCCAGCATTCGGTTCTCAATTCCATTTTAAGGAAACTTTGCTCCCTTAAACCTAAGGAGTGGCATCGTTACCTACCCTGTGCTTTGTTTGCCATGAGGGAAGTTCCCAGTGACTCTTTGGGGTTTTCACCTTTTGAACTTCTCTATGGGTAGACGGGGCCAGAGGTCCATTTCCATCCTTCATGACTTTTGGGACTAATGAGGACGTAAATGCTGGGGTTTTCAGTCTTCTTATCAGTTTCTCCTTGCCCTTTAGACCCCAAACTTGAGGAGACCTCTGACATAGTTTCGAAAACTTAAGCTTGTCAATGGACCAGTACAAAACCTATTTTGATTCCAAAAGTCAGAGAAGTTTTAAAGTAGGGGATGAAGTTCTGGTACTTTTGCCTATCAAGTCAAATAAATTATTATTTAGCATGGAAAGGTCCTATAAGGTGTTAAAAATTTGTGGGAAGGTTGATTACCTAATAGAAGTCAAGGGGAAACCTAAGCTTTATCATATAAAACATCCTTAAGAAATATTACTGAAGCAATTGGGTTTAAACTGCCTGAATAACTTTGATTTAGTTTTTCCACACAAACTTGATAAAGACAAACCCTGAGGAGTGTAAGGTGTGCGTAATTGACACCTCTAACGTAGACTATGACAGAGAACTACATGACTTCGTGACTCTTGGGCCACTCGGGTGCAACAAAATTAATATTAGTGAGTCTTTTGGATGACCATAAGAAACATGAACTACTTCAATGTGTAAACTTCTCAGACGTTTTTACGGATATTCCAGGTGTCACCTCCACGGTTAGTCCATAAGATTGACTTTTGTCACGGAAATTTCCCATCAAACGGAAATTTTTACCCCGTTCCAGTTCACCTTAGGGATGCATTTGACCGAGAGGTTTGACAAATTATTAAAACTAAAGATCATTGAACCTTCAGTATCTGCATATTGCTCACCAGTAGTCATGGTTAAGGAGGAGGATAATTCATATAGACTTGCTGTTGACTTCAGAGGCCTTAATGCTATAACTCGGTGGGATGCTGAGCCTATGCCCTTAATAGATAGCGATCTACACAAATTTTATGACGCTTCCTTCTTTTCAGAGATTGATATTGCGCAGGCGTATCAAGTAATGTTAGATCCTTCTTCTAAGCAGTACACCGCTTTTCCTACCCACCAAGGACTGATGCAGTATAGAACTATGCCCTTCGGTTTGGTAACTGCCTGTACTACCTACGTGAGACTGATGAGAAAGGTCTTAGGTAATATGCCAAATGTTTCAGTTTATTTTGATAACATTTACGTAATGACATCCACTTGGGGCAAGCATATCCAAACATTAACATCAGTTTTATGTAGGTTACGTTCACATGTCCTCACTGCCAAGCCGAAGAAATGCTTCCTTGGGTATAACAAGATTAGATATCTCGGACTGATCCTTTCTAATAACTCCTTGCAGCCTCTCCCCAGTAAGATCAAAGCTTTATTAGAATTTAAATTCCCCAAAACCAAGAAGCTCATGCGTAGCTTTCTTGGTTCTATAAATTTCTATGCACGGTTTATCCCGAACCTTACTGATCTTACAGGCATATTATCCGACTTCCTTAAAAAGTCTGAAGGAACCTCTTGAACTTTCCGACATAGCTCGGGAAAAGTTTAATGAGATTAAAAATATCTTCTCGAAAGACCCTATACTTAAGATTCCAGATATTAATAAAACATTTTGTTTAAGAACTGATGCCTCCAATACTGGCTTAGGTGTGGTGTTACTACAATACCATGATGGTACTCCCTTCCCTGTATGCTTCCTAAGCCAGAAACTCCTTCCTGCAGAAACGAGATACTCCACCATAGAAAAGGAATCTTTGGCCCTTGTGTGGGGTATCTCCAAGCTTAAATTTTATTTACTGGGAAAAGAATTCATTTGAGAGACAGATCACAAACCTTTGATATACCTAGAAACTTTTAAGGGAACCAACAGCCGCCTCTTGAGGTGGACATTGGCTCTCCAAGCTTTTAAGTTCCATATTGTGTATATCAATGGTTCATCCAATTATTTCTCTGACTGGTTAAGTCGTGACAGTCAGTAGAAGATTTGTTGCCTTACACGACTTCCACGTGTTAGAACTTTTTCCTCGCCTGTTCTTCTTATAATCCTTGACTATAAGTCTTGGTATGGGGGAGTGTGAGGGAAAAGTTCAACAGATAGGAGTAGCGAGCGAGTATATGGTAACGATAGTTTGGTTGCCGGCTGCTTGTTAAGGTAGGGTGTAAGTCTAGCTCCCGCTATCTTCCCCTTTTTCCCCCACCCCGAAAGGTGACGTGTGGGGCTCCGGGCAAACAGTAATCACTCGACTCACAGCTCCCAGCACAACTGTAAGTACAAGCCTGCTCCTATTCTAGTGGATTTATTGGTTGAAAGCTTCACTTTTGACCAATAATAAACTTAGTCCTTTCAGCCTTGATCTCCATGTTAGATGTTTTGATAATCACCAAGTCTTTTAGGTATTGTACTTATCATGGAGAGTGATTTCTTAAGCAGTGGGTAACCTGTCTCTCTTTCTAGCTTGGAATGACAGATCGGGTCACCTGCCAACCAACGAGAAGTGTTGAAGAAGGACTTTTGCAAAAGTCTGGAGAAGTCTCTACCTACCTGATTACATGTAAGCGACAGCAGACCATAACCCCTCATCTTGGTAGTGGTAAAGAATCTGCTTTCCTGTCATCTGGACTCTGAAGAACTAGCCGTTGGGTTGTCACCAACACCTGTGACCCCCCCCCCACATCAGCAATGGCTACGATTTCTACAAGATGGTGTCAACATCAACCAGACACCCCAGTTTACTTGTACATACTAGCGTTGAATTCTGTCATTTTTTCCATTTCATTTTTCATTTTTCTTTCAAATAGGATACACTTTCATGTTTCACTGTTTTATTTTTGCATTAATAAATAATAAAGTGTTTATCTTTGTGAATTATTTCTTTTTCTATTCATTAATTTTCCTGAGGAGGAGCCAGCCTTGGTAATACTGTTAGAAGTTGTTACAGGGCTGAGTAAGCCTTCACAGATAGGTTGTGGGGTTCCTAGGATAGTTGTGTGCGCGCTTGCCCTTGCTGCTCTGTTCTGCTCTGATTGACCTCTACTGGTTCCATCCTTGTCTCCTTTCCTTGCTCCTTTCGCTTTTTTTTCCTCTCCCTCAGCTGCTGTCATTCTGTTCGTGTTCTGTCTCTGTCAAGGAACACCCTCTTGTACTCTTCTGAGTATTTCAAACATTGTTTCTCTTGGAGCATCCTGTTCCTCACTGTTTCTGTCCTGAGAATCAGCTTGATCCGTCGTTTTCTCCCCTTCAAGTACCCCCCTATTCTCTGAAAATTTACAGTCTCGTCCATGTCTTCACCTATTTCCATGATGATGTTCTCAATCTCCTTTATTTCTGCCTGCCATCTTTCAGTGTGTCCTTTCCTCTCTCTCGTCTGAAGCCCATGGATAAACACTGATTTTGCCCTTTCCTCCCATTGCTTCTCCCTCTGTGACTCTGGTTCCTGTCTGTACGTGGTCATTTTCTCCCTTTTTTCCAGTGGCTCTTGGTAGCATGGTTGTGCCTCGGCATTTGACCTACGTGTATGTGAATGTGTGTGTGTGTGTATGTATATATATGTGTGTGTGTGTGTGTGTGTGTTTATAAGGGCAGTGAAATAGCAGTAGTTTTTTTCACATTTTTATTCCAGGAAATAACAATCAGTAGTGAGAGTAATAATGACACACACACATACAGGTCATTTCATTACTTCTACAGAGAAGCAAAATGCCTCAAGGATGATTTTCACGCACATGTCCTAGTACTCGGGTATACAATGTACATGTCCTAGTACTCGGGTATACAATGTACATGTCCTAGTACTCGGGTATACAATGTACATGTCCTAGTACTCGGGTATACAATGTACATGTCCTAGTACTCGGGTATACAATGTACATGTCCTAGTACTCGGGTATACAATGTACACGTCCTAGTACTCGGGTATACAATGTACACGTCCAAGTACTCGGGTATACAATGTACACGTCCTAGTACTCGGGTATACAATGTACATGTCCAAGTACTCGGGTATACAATGTACATGTCCTAGTACTCTGGTATACAATGTACATGTCCTAGTACTCGGGTATACAATGTACATGTCCAAGTACTCGGGTATACAATGTACATGTCCTAGTACTCGGGTATACAATGTACGTCCTAGTACTCTGGTATACAATGTACATGTCCAAGTACTCGGGTATACAATGTCCATGTCCTAGTACTCGGGTATACAATGTACATGTCCTAGTACTCGGGTATACAATGTACATGTCTTAGTACCCGAGTATACAATGCACATGTCCTTGTACTCAGGTATGCAATGTACATGTCCTAGTACTCAGGTATGCAATGTACATGTCCTAGTACTCGGGTATACAATGTACATGTCCAAGTACTCGGGTATACAATGTACATGTCCTAGTACTTGGGTATACAATGTACATGTCCTAGTACTCGGGTATACAATGTACACGTCCAAGTACTCGGGTATACAATGTACACGTCCTAGTACTCGGGTATACAATGTACATGTCCAAGTACTCGGGTATACAATGTACATGTCCTAGTACTCGGGTATACAATGTACATGTCCTAGCACTCGGGTATACAATGTACACGTCCTAGTACTCGGGTATACAATGTACATGTCCAAGTATTCGGGTATACAATGTACATGTCCTAGTACTCGGGTATACAATGTACGTCCTAGTACTCTGGTATACAATGTACATGTCCAAGTACTCGGGTATACAATGTACACGTCCTAGTACTCTGGTATACAATGTACATGTCCAAGTATTCGGGTATACAATGTACATGTCCTAGTACTCGGGTATACAATGTACGTCCTAGTACTCTGGTATACAATGTACATGTCCTAGTACTCGGGTATACAATGTACATGTCCTAGTACCCGAGTATACAATGCACATGTCCTTGTACTCGGGTATGCAATGTACATGTCCTAGTACTCAGGTATGCAATGTACATGTCCTAGTACTCGGGTATACAATGTACATGTCCTAGTATTCGGGTATACAATGTACATGTCCTAGTACTCGGGTATACAATGTACATGTCCTAGTACTCGGGTACACAATGTACATGTCCTAGTACTCGGGTACACAATGTACATGTCCTAGTACTCGGGTACACAATGTACATGTCCTAGTACTGGGGTACACAATGTACATGTCCTAGTACTCGGGTATAATGTACATGTCCTAGTACTCGGGTATACAATGTACATGTCCTAGTACTCGGGTATACAATGTACATGTCCTAGTACTCGGGTATACAATGTACATATCCTAGTACTCGAGTATACAATGTACATGTCCTTGTATTCGGGTATACACTGTACATGTCCTAGTACTCAGGTATGCAATGTACATGTCCTAGTACTCGGGTATAATGTACATGTCCTAGTACTCGGGTATACAATGTACATGTCCTAGTACTCAGGTATGCAATGTACATGTCCTAGTACTCGGGTATAATGTACATGTCCTAGTACTCGGGTATACAATGTACATGTCCTAGTACTCGGTATGCAATGTACATGTCCTAGTACTCGGGTATAATGTACATGTCCTAGTACTCGGGTATACAATGTACACGTCCTAGTACTCGGGCATATTAGAAACACTTTAATATTTCCTTGACATGCTCTCATTTACATAATTATAAAACCATTAACACACACAAAAAAAACATTCAGCACGATAATTATATCTCTTCCTCCTACAAAATATGAGGTTTAGAATTTAAACATCACGTTTGTCTTCATGTTTTTGGCCTCAGTAAATGAGTATATTGCACTTACTTTCCTCGACGTCTCTTGCACCTCCCTCGGACACAAGCAACATTGACGGGGTCGTAAATATGTCCTCGCTGACACCTCCATGAGTACACCTGCCACACACCGCTCTCCAGCACGCACTCATGGAACGCATAACAGCGCTTCTGGTCTGCCACTAGCCCTGGCTCGAAGCAGATGGGGTGTGGGGGAGGCAAGGCTGCAGTCTGCTCCGCCAGGGACTCTACCACTGCCTCCATGTCCGGGATGGGCAACCCCACCGCAGGCTCCACGTCTGGAAGGATAGGTAGACTCGACTCCGAGCCTGGCAGATTGGGAGACTCCTGCTGGAAGGGTGGATCTTGAAACTGTGGAGCCTGTTGCTGGAGCCTCTGGTCTTGCTGCTGGAATCTCTCACCTGGAAACTGTTGACCCGGCTGCTGGAATTTCTGTTCCTCTTGTGGGAATCTCTGCTTCTCTTGTGTGAATCTTTGATCTTGTTGTGGGAATCTCTGTTCTTGTGGGAATCGCTGTTCTTGCAGGAATCTTTGATCTTCTTGTGGGAATCTCTGTTCTTCTTGTGGGAATCTCTGTTCTTCTTGTGGGAATCTCTGTTCTTCTTGTGGGAATCTCTGTTCTTCTGTGGGAATCTCTGTTCTTCTTGCGGGAATCTCTGTTCTTCTTGCGGGAATCTCTGTTCTTCTTGCGGGAATCTTTGATCTTGTTGTGAGAATCTTTGATCTTGTTGTGAGAATCTTTGATCTTGTTGTGGGAATCTTTGATCTTGCAGCTGGAATCTCTGTTCCTCTTGTGGGAATCTTTGATCTTGTTGTGGGAATCTCTGACCTTGCTGTTGTCTGTGACCTGGGAACAGCTGGTCCTCACGGCGCCTCTGGTCTTGCAAATTTGGCGTGTGTGGCGATAATCTTTCATCACGAGACTGCTGACTAGGCTGTTGAACATTCTGACCAGACAACTGCTGCTCCCGCTCCGCGAGAGGCTGGCTTGATAACTGTACCTCTGACTGTTCCAAATGACGACGCTCGAACTGGCTTTCACTCAGGGTAATTCGCTGGGGATTTGGCGCCGGATGGATTCTTGAACTACTGTCTTGCCCGGAGGAGTCTTGGTTCTTGCTTGAGAGGTGTTGACCTCGAGGGGGGAAGGGCTTGACACACTATGAGGCCGTGGCCTCCTCCTCCTCACTACGGATTCATCTTGTCGGAGAGGAACCCGAGTTTCGAGGATCTCCTCTCGAGTTGTGTTGGGGAGTGTGTTAGGCTGAACCGTAGTCTCCTGAGGCTCGAACACAGTTACTGCGTCTGTCTGCAGAGGCTCGAACACAGTTACTGCGTCTGTCTGCAGAGGCTCGAACACAGTTACTGCGTCTGTCTGCAGAGGCTCGAACACAGTTACTGCGTCTGTCTGCAGAGGCTCGAACACAGTTACTGCGTCTGTCTGCAGAGGCTCGAACACAGTTACTGCGTCTGTCTGCAGAGGCTCCAGCACTGTCACTGCGTCTGTCTGCAGAGGCTCCAGCAATGTCACTGCGTCTGTCTGTAGAGGCTCCAGCACTGTCACTGCGTCCATCTCCGTCTCTGTCTTAAACTCCGGCTGAACGTTCATCAAAACAAGTCATGTACGTTCACACATTGTTATTGATTTTAAACTTATAATCCAAGAATATATCTCAATCATTATAGCCATAATACAAACTTTTCAAATACACAACACTGATATGTGCATGAAATATATGTGCATGAAATATATGTGCATGAAATATATGTGCATGCAATATACATAACTACACAGGTGTTAGTAGGTCAGTTTTGTAGTTAGTTGAGATGCTAATACTTCTAGTGTTAGCATAACTCAGTGTATTAGTTTTGAAGTTAGTTGAGTTGGCTAGCGGCATCTCGTAATGTCTGAAAGCAGAAATATTTCATTAATTAGCAAGTAGCATTCTGCAGTAGCAGGATTTGTTCATGGAGAATTTGTTCATACAGGATTAGTTCATGAAGGATTTGTTTATGAAGGACTTGTTCATGCAGGATTTGTTCATGCAGGATTTATTCATGCAGGATTTGTTCATACAGGAATTATTCATGCAGGATTTGTTCATACAGGATTTATTCATGCAGTTGTTTCATGCAGGAGTTGTTCGTGAAGGATTTGTTCATGCAGAATTTGTTCATGAAGGATTCGTTCATGCAGGATTCGTTCATGAAGGATTTGTTTATGCAGGATTTGCTCATGAAAGATTTGTTCATACAGAATATGGTTGCTTCTGTCAATTTAACAATCAGCTGTTACACAAGCAGGCAATAATCAACTGTTACACACACTCGCGCAACAATCAACGATGTATAACACAGGCGCTTGTTAGGTCGTTTGTCCCTCACACAAACAGATCGAGAACGTGTGTTAGTTTGACCAGATAGTCGTAGTCAACCATGATGGTCGTAGTCAACCATGATGGTCAGCTACAGAGGCAGAATACAGGTGAGGTAGAGACATGGAGCGTAGACACGTAGACGTAGACACACACACACACAACACACACACACACACACACACACACACACACACACACAGAAGTGTGGTTAAGTTCGTTCTGAGAATTTAATCAAGCAAGTTTAGAGAACCATACAATAGGAAGCACCTTGTAAATGTTCAAAGTGAGATATACATCCTTCACCACTTCCACCAACACCACCTACCATCACCACTACCACCAACACCACCTACCATCACTACTACCACCACCACCACCTACCATCACCTCTCTTTTTACAAGCATTACCAGAGGAGGGACCTCCCTCACCAGCGCCCGGCTACCCATACTGCCCCAACCACCGCCAGGGAGAACAGTGCCATTATGAGGCTCCTGCGAGTGCCACCCACCGAGAGTGTGGCACTGCTGCCGCCAGAGTTGATAGCGTCCAGCCACAAGTCCGAGTACTGGCTGTTGTTAGCCACCTGGAACTCGAAGTCGATGGGTCGGAAGAGGTTGAGCTTGTGGCTGTAAAGAGAAAACTGAGCTCAGACAACCTAGCACAAGAACCTCACACCTTGAAGAACCTGACACATGTATAGCATCTGGGTATCTTTAATGTAGATGTTTCGCCATCCAGTGGCTTTATCAATACAAATTCAAGGACATAACTGGAAGACAGTAGAACTATATACAAAAGATGAAGTAATTAGTCCCTCAGTCGGAGTTGGTGAAGAGCACCGTAGTATGTCTTGAAGACTACGGTGCTAATCAACTCCACACACAATACATATATATATATATATATATATATATATATATATATATATATATATATATATATATATATATATATATATCATGCCGAATAAGTAAAACTCGCGATTACAGCTTAAATACCAACGTTCTCCTTGCCGAATAAGGCAAGCGAAAATTTGTGTATGCAATAATTTCGCAAAAATCATTCTGAACCTAACTTAAAAAAATATATTTCATTGTGTTGTGTTATTGAAAACTTATCTAAAATATATTTAGCTGGATTAAGCTATATTAAATCGCGACTGTTATAATAAGGTTAGGTAAGCTTTCTAAGATAATTCTGGTACAAAATTATTAATTTTTATATTCACATAAATGAAAAAAATATATTTTTAAAAGGTATAAGAGAATTTTTTTAAAAAGGACTTAATTATAAATGAGTTCTTGCTAACTGACCAGTTTTATATATAGTGCATAAATTTACCAGGAAGATATATAAGGAAAAGACAAGAAAAGACATAGAGAGAGAGAGAGAGAGAGAGAGAGAGAGAGAGGTTAGGTTAGGATTAGCACTCACAAATCAGGCTGAGGATAGTCAGGGTCGTTGTGTGGTGCAGGATAGAGCGCCTGGTACTGCCTAGCCTCGTTCACACCATGGATGGCGTAGGCGTTCATACGAGTCACGTTGGGAGGGAAGTAGTCAGGGGGAATCATGGCAGACCCACGCCACTCACCCTGCAATGATAATAATACCATTAACGCCATTAATGTAGTGGTAAAACCACCATTAATGTAGTGGCACCACCACCATTAATGTAATGACAACACCGGAATATAGATGACTGGTTCAGAGAACCGACGACAACTCTGCCTCGCATGATACTCCCACAACACTGCCTCCCACAACACTGCCTCCCACATGATACACTCACAACATTACCTCCCACATGATACACCCACAACACTGCCTCCCACATAATACTTCCACAACACTGCCTCCCACAGGATACATCGACAACTCTGCCTCGCATGATACTCCCACAACACTGCCTCCCACATGATACACCCACAACATTGCCTCCCACACGATACACCCACAACACTGCCTCCCACATAATACTTCCACAACACTGCCTCCCACAGGATACAATCGACAACTCTGCCTCGCTTGATACGCCCAAACATTGCCTCCCACATGATACACCCACAACACTACCTCCCACATGATACACCCACAACACTACCTCCCACAGGATACATCAAAATGATATACTCTCAAGATGCACCAACAGGATACTCTCACATAATACTCCCACAACACTGCCTCCCACATGATACTCCCACAACACTGCCTCCCACATGATACTCTCACAACACTGCCTCCCACATGATACTCCCGCAACACTACCTCCCACATGATACTCCCACAACACTGCCTCCCACATGATACTCCCACAACACTGCCTCCCAAATGATACTCCCACAACACTGCCTCCCACATGATACACCCACAACACTGCCTCCCACATGATACACCCACAACACTGCCTCCCACATGATACACCCACAACACTGCCTCCCACATGATACACCCACAACACTGCCTCCCACATGATACACCCACAACACTGCCTCCCACAGGATACATCAAAATGATATACCCTCAAGATGCAGCAACAGGATACACCCACATGATACACAAACAGGATACACCCACATGATGCACCCACATGATACACAAACAGGATACACCCACATGATACACAAACAGGATACACCCACATGATACACCCACATGATACACTAACAGGATACACCCTCAAGAGGCACCAATGGGATACACCCACATGATACACCAACAGGATACACCCACATGATACACAAACAGGATACACCCACATGATATACTAACAGGATACACCACATGATACACCAACAGGATACACCCACATGATACACTAACAGGATACACGCACATGATACACCAACAGGATACATCAGCATAATACACCAACAGGATACAATAGGATACACTCACCGGCTGGTCTCCCACAGGATCAGTTTTCTGTGTAACGATGTAATTGTGGGTGTATCATATGGGTGTATCCCACATGATACACCCACAACACTGCCTCCTACATAATACTTCCACAACACTGCCTCCCACATGATACACTCACAACACTGCCTCCCACATGATACACCCACAACACAGCCTCCCACATGATACACCCACAACACTGCCTCCTACATAAGACTTCCACAACACTGCCTCCCACATGATACACTCACAACACTGCCTCCCACAGGATACACCGACAGCACTGCCTCACATGATACTCCCACAACACTGCCTCCCACATGATACACCCACAACACTGCCTCCCACAGGATACACCGACAGCACTGCCTCACATGATACTCCCACAACACTGCCTCCCACATGATACTCCAACAACACTGCCTCCCACATGATACACTCACAACACTGCCTCCCACATGATACACCCACAACACAGCCTCCCACATGATACACCCACAACACAGCCTCCCACATGATACACCCACAACACAGCCTCCCACATGATACACCCACAACAGCCTCCCACATGATACTTCCACAACACTGCCTCCCACATGATACACCACAACACTGCCTCCCACATGATACACCCGCAACATTGCCTCCCACATGATACATCCACAACACTGCCTCCCAAATGATACACCACAACACTGCCTCCCACATGATACACCCGCAACATTGCCTCCCAAATGATACACCCACAACACTACCTCCCACAGGATACACCAGAATGATATACCCTCAAGATGCACCAACAGGATACACCCACATGATACACCAACAGGATACACCCACATGATACACCAACAGGATACACCAGCATGATACACCAACAGGATACAACAGGATACACCCACCGGCTGGTCTCCCACAGGATCAGTTTTCTGTGTTACAATATAGTCGAGCGGGAGAGAATGCTTGATGGTGTTCCTTGGGCCCTTGAGTAGCAGCAGGAGGTGTTGTCCCCAGGGTCCGACCTCCACCTCCAGGTACTCCTCAGCATCGTTCAGGAAGAACATCTCAACCACTGGAAAAGAACAGATTCGAACTCAGTAATGTTGAGTCAATATGAGTTTCCCATCCTGTGGGTCGCGGACCCCTGGTTTAGAACATGGGGTCCGCGACCCCCTGGGTGACTCGCGGACCCCCCCAGTGACTCACGAACCCAAGAGGAAGGTGCAGAGTTATACCAAGCTGGATTTTTTTTCAACGGACGAAACCTAAATTTACGACTATCAGCATTTAGGGTTCCCAGAGTTGTTCATGTTTACAATGGCAGCTCGTATTGTTTACAATGGCAGCTCGTATTGTTTACAATGGCAGCTCGTATTGTTTACAATGGCAGCTCGTATTGTTTACAATGGCAGCTCGTATTGTTTACAATGGCAGCTCGTGTTGGGAAATGCTGAGACCGACTTCTTGGGGAAGAATTATTAATTCCGTGATTCAGAATTAACTGTTGCGTTTATTAAGTATCAGAAATGTATACCTGGAGAGTGTTTCAGGAGGTCAGCGCCCCCGCGACCCGGTCTGTGACCAGGCCTCATGGTGGTTCAGGTCGCACTTAAACCGACGTACGAACCACAGCCTGGCTGGTCAGGTACTGACTTTAGGTGCCTGTCCAGCACCTTCTTGAAGACAGCCAGGGATCAATTGGTAATCCCCTTTATGTATGCACAGAGGCAGTGAAACAGTCTTGGGCCCCTGACGCTTATTGTGTCGTCTCTTATCGTGCGAGTGGCGCCCCTGCTTTTCATTACATAAGAATATAAGAATGGAGGAACACTGCAGAAGGCCTACTGGCCCATACAAGACAGGTCCTTATCAAAATGATCTCGACCCAAAGATACCCAAGAATTTACTCCCCTACGCAATGACAAATCAAACCCAGCCCCTCCCACTCATATATTTGTGCAATCTCTTTTTAAAGCTACCCAAAGTCATAGCCTCGATCACCCTACTGGGAAGATTGTTCCATGCATCCACAACTCTGTTAGAAAACCAGTACTTACCTATGTCCTTTCTAAATCTAAATTTATCCAACTTAAATCCATTATTTCTGGTTCTTACCTGGTTCGACACCCTCAGTACTTTATTAATAGCTCCTTTGTTTATGCCCGTCATCCACTTATACACTTCAATGATATCTCCCCTCATTCTATGTCTCTCCTGAGAGTGGAGATTTAAGTCTATCTTCATATGGGAGGTTCCTTACACAGTAAATCATTTTAGTCATTCTTTTCTGTATGTTCTCCAATGAGTCTATATCCATCCTGTAGTAAGGAGACGAAAACTGAGCGGCATAATCTAAATGAGGCCTCACTAGTGATGTATAGAGCTGTAAAATAACTATTGGACTTCTGTTACTTATACTTCTAGAGATAAATCCTAGTAATCTGTTAGCCTTGTTGCGCACACTTAGGCACTGCTGTCTTGGCTTTAGATTTCTGCTTACCATGACTCCCAAGTCTTTTTCACATTCTGTATGATGAAGCTCTACTTCACCTAGTTTATAGCTTCGAGGGTTATTTTCATTACCAAGGACTAGTACCTTACAGTTGTCCACATTGAACTTCATCTGCCATTTTTCAGACCAAGACATTAATTTGTCCAAATCCTCCTGGAGTTCATTGCTATCCTCCTCGGAATCACACGGCCTATCTTTGTATCATCAGCAAATTTGCTCATGTCACTCGTAATCCCTTCATCAAGGTCATTAATGTAAATTATGAACAAGAGAGGGCTTAAAACTGATCCCTGTGGAACGCCACTAGTGACTAATCCCCATTCAGATTTGACCCCATTAATTTAAACTCTGCTTTCTATTGGTAAGCCATGCCTCTATCCATGCTAGAACTTTACCTCCTA